AACTTGTCAGAAGTGACTCATGCTTAGAGCAGAGGAACAAGACAGCAAACAGAAATGACACTTAGTGCTCTGGATTGAGACAAGTGCACACTATAGATGAAGATGCTTTGTTCATATTTCATGTCTGAGGTTTACAACCACTGTAAATGAAAGTTTTTGGTCCTGGAACTTCGGCCACATTATCACCTTTGCATTTAAACATGGGCGCTGTAAAGAAATTGCATGTGTCATAAGAAACAATGTTATTAAATGAGGCTGTTCAGAGCTCTGCTGTGCCTTGTGCTGCAGTTTGAAAAATGTAGCTTGTCCATTTTCCTGTACATTTTGAAAAATGTGGCTTGTCCATTTTCCTGTACATTTTGAAAAATGTGGCTTGTCCATTTTCCTGTACATTTTGAAAAATGTGGCTTGTCCATTTTCCTGTACATTTTGAAAAATGTGGCTTGTCCATTTTCCTGTACATTTTGAAAAATGTGGCTTGCCCATTTTCCTGTACATTTTCATGCACTGCAATGCCCAATAGAATGAAGATGCATCTAAACATACTACAATACGTGTTAAAAAAAAGCCGCACCAAAACAGACAAATGCAGATTCAGATAGATGTGTACCTGGCCTGAATAATATTTTGTGTTAAAAGCTCAGCCATCCACTATAGTGTGCATGTATGACTGTATGTATGCTGTTTTGTTCTGTGCTGCACTGACTAAGTTCGTTATTATTGCACCATGACTTTCGTTCAAGAATCACATTTAAAAAAAAATCTGCTTGGCTGCAGATGGTAGGAGTTAAATATAGGGAGTAGTCATATGGAGGGAAAAGAGGAAAAGTAAAGTATACAAAGTGATTAAAGCTACTGGCTGAGTAGAAAGGAAGACTTGTAAGTACTGTATATAAATGTGAACAGTTGCTGTTTTGTTAGAATTGTCAAATAAAAGTAGAGTGCAACATTGCAGGCTTTTAATAAAATAATGTTTCCGAGGTGAAACTTTTCTTTAACTTGTTAAATGCCAACACACAGCAAACGTGCTGAAAAATGGTTGCTATAGTCCTATTTCAGTTGCTTATAGAGCCTTATTGCACTGCTGTCCTGTAGTCTCGAATAATGGTGCAGAGGGCTACGCAGATACTTTGTGTGCTCAAGCTGGAATTAGCCCTGATCCTGAACAGAGATCTTTATGTCTCCACTGCAGATACAGGACTCCTTTTATAAGTTACACTGAAAGGCTCTCATTTAGGTGCTTTCACCTGATTAACCATTAGTAGTAAAATTACTAGCTGCCGTCTACAAGCATTCCGTGCCTTCATTCACCCTTTTCAGACTGGTGGAATACAGAGCCCACAGCTGGTCCTCTGGGTGCCCTCACCAGCTCATTTGTCCTAACTATGATTCAGCACTGGATAGGTGAACAGCCACCACTATTACATTCCCTGTCTTGATGTTATGTGTAGGTGATGTCTAAGATTGCTGTAACAGGCATGCTTTAAGAGTTTCTCTTGTACCTGCAACTTTTCTATACTAAAGGAAAGTCAAGGCAAGTGAAAGAGTTAACTTTAGTGTTTTGAAAACCAATATTATACAACGATAAATATACTTTCCGTAATCTTTCTCCTCCTAATTCACCTCCCTCCAGCCAGTCCCCACCCATTCCACCCCTCTATGTCACTTAACTGGGAGGCACACCTGGAGGGATGTAAGTAAGATACCTTGAACACAAATTACCCATTCCTTCATTCTCACTTTGCTTTCTGACTCCCCTCTGGACACCATGAAGACCTGTCTACTCTCTGCTCTTCTGCTCTTCAGCTGCTATGCCTATGTTGCAGTGGGAGCACCACCACAGCAGCTAAGGGGTAAGTTACCTAATTCTTTTTGAATGGCCTTAGCACAAACTATGCTATCATATGCTGTGCTATCATAAAATACCCACCATACTATTCTTCAAACATGTGCACTGTTAACTCAGTAAGTGTGTTAAATAACTCCTATCAGACACTTTGGAAAAGTGGAAGAGGTACTTCTAACAATTTAGTTAAAATCCAAACCAACTGGATATTTTCAATGGATAGGTAGGTAGATTATATTGTATTTGGCTAGATATTTTAGTCAAGCTAGAATTATTACACAGAGGGGGAGATTTACTAAAACTGTTACACACAAAATCTGGCGCAGCTCTACATATCTCTTAGATTGTAAGCTCCAAGGAGCAGGGCCCTCCTAACCCTCTTGTATTGAACTGTATTGTCTCCCGTTATATTGTAAAGCGCTGAGCAAACTGTTGGCGCTATATAAATCCTGTATAATAAAAATAATACATAGGAACCAATCAGCTTCCAGTTTTTTTTTTTTTTTGCCCATCCAATTTGAACAAGCTGAAGATAGAAGTTGATTGGTTACTATGCACAGCTGCACCAGATTCTGGGTGTACCAGTTTTAGTAAATCCCCCCAAAGTAAACTGCAACACATTTTATTTTATAGCATTAACAAAAATAAACAGCCTTGTAAAGGAATCAGCAATAATAATGTGAAATGCACAGTAAGACATAGCAAACAATCAAAATTGAAGTTTTCTGAAATCAAATCAGTAAATGCTTTCTGTTCATTTTCTATGGATTTCTGCACTTTGCAAAGTGCAATCATGGTGAATAAAGCGTAAGGTGTTCCACAATTAACATGTAAGTACCTGTTCATGTACAGTATAAAGGTGCATACTTTATGTGTACTTGATGCTCAATTTTACTTGTTGCTCTATATTTGCCAATATATGATCAACATAATGCTGCATTACGTATTTCTGAAAAATGAAAAACCCTTTGTATGACATAAATGGATAGCTTTTATTGTCCTCCAATCATTCTTAAAAAAAACATATTTAATAACTCTGGCCAGCATCTCTTCAGCATATGTCTAGCTGTAAAAGATGGGGACATCCATAGACATAGCAAGTCTCCTATGGCTTCAGAAGCAGTGACATACTTTTTAAAAAGATAGACATCCAAACAGCTTTAGCATTAGAAACCATTATTTTTTAAGACTGATTTAAAGTAAATTTGTAGCATACATATTCACAAGGAGCAAAAACTGTATTACCTAGCACCCAGATCACCATTATTGTAACAGCACATCTCCTTAGTCACTTACTTTCTGAAAGTGACTATTATGATAGCTCTATGCAAACCTCCTTCTTGCTTATGAGATAATTCTCATGCCTGGTGAACAGGTGAAACCACTCTCTTGTCAGAGCAGGAGGGGGTATAATTATTTTCCCCCATATCCAGAAGTTTAGGTTTTCCGGAAGCTCCAGTGACCATATGGGTAGCTGCGCTTTGACAGCACACGTATGCTGTAGCAATGTTTGATACCTACAGCTATCCACATCGTTAGTTTATTACAAATGACTGTATTACAGGTTTACATTCAAGTTGTTTTTAATAGTATAAGGAGAAAATATCAAAAGTACATATACTGTATGAATCCCCTTTCTATTACTGTGCAACCTACTTCAAGATGTTGTAATTGTACAAAATAACCTGTTTTTAGCAGCCAGTGAAAGCTGAATTAATTACCGCACATCACAGCTTTTCAAAATGTGTTACCAAATTGTCCCTATTATTTTTTACACCTGAAAAAAACTTTTTTTTTTCATTTTAAAACATTTAAAATTTTTCCTATATTAGTCATCCATAGGTTTGGCCCATTAATATTAGATGCTTAACATAGGTTAATCTCTATCAAATGACATGTCCTAGTAGAGAAAGAGTAAACGTTATTATAATTGTGTAATATGTTTTTATTATTAATGTTTATGTTCATAATTATTTTGTGCCTTACTATTATTATTAAAATGTAGTTTGCTTTTTTTTATAGATAGATATAGATAGTTTCTAACCTTTGAGTTAGGGATTTTTTTTTTAATAATGATAATGCAATACAGCAAGACTGTACTAACAGTTTGATCAATGTGTTTTAATGAGCACAAAGAGCCTGGTGTGGTGTATGGTTATGTCAGAACTCGAATCCTCAGTGGCTTCTGCTTGTTTGAACTTTCCATAGATTTAGTATGGTCATAATTTACATTGATCTTGCACTCTGGTATAATAGATAAAAAGATATTGATTTTAATCATTTACAACTGTTGTTTCTGATATCTTTCTTCTCATAACAAACACTACAACAATTTTTTGAACAATGCTTGTGTAGAGTATTGACAGCAGTTTGCTGTATAATGCGAAATGAGTCAATTAATACTAAATTTAGGTTCCTAAAAAGGAATATTATAATTCTCATGTTATTTGTCAGTCACTAAGTATACACGTTTATTTTTGCGGGAGACGGATAAATTCTGTCAAATAGAAGAATCTCACAACTGAAAGAATATATCAGGTTTTTTTTAAGTAATTTCAAGTCAAGAAATAGTTTTGCTAATGTATTTTGATAAAGTGTGTGAAGACACATCAAGTTTTAGGTTGTTTGCCAGATTTTTGGAACCCAATATGGAGATCAGGTTTTCAAATAAATACAGCCTGCTTGGAATATGCTGCTTTTTACCAATGCCCACAGCCATATAAAACACAGTAAAATAACAAATGAAGTATTGTACTGATTAAATTCCTTCACGGTACAAACATATTGATTTGACCTTTCTTTTAAAAATATTTATCACTGTGTATCTCAAACTGCTACCTCTATTCTTTAGCCTTTAAAAATTGTATTTTTCAGTGTGATAGTGTCCCAGTTAATGAGAGATCATGATCATCAGTCTTGTATCCTGCAAACCACATGACTGAATGTTTTACTGGTAATTCTATTTAAAGTGTCTCTGTTACTGTGTCTATCCCACAAATATCTGCTTTCAGTTGTAGTCACTGTTAATTTACTGATGTGTCTTATTTACTGTAGACAGTTGAAAACTATGAATGACATGCAAAAGATTATATGAGTGCCAGTAATCTGTTAAATTCAATACCATAGATAATCTTTTGCTCATTCTTGCTTCTCATCCAACAAAGGCCCAAACTGCAGGACACAACCCACTGACCTGGTATTCATCGTAGACAGCTCACGTAGTGTACGACCTTCTGAATTTGAACAAGTCAAGGACTTCTTGTCTCAGGTCATCGAGTCTCTGGATGTCGGTTTAAATGCAACAAGAGTCGGAGTCCTCAATTATGCCAGCTCTGTCAAAAATGAGTTCTCCCTCAAAACTCACAAAACTAAAGCTGCATTGCTTCAGGCAGTCAAAAAAGTCCAGCCTCTGTCCACCGGTACAATGACAGGCCTTGCCATTCAATATGCCATCAACCAGGCTTTCACTGAAGGTGAAGGAGCACGTCTGAGATCACCAGGTATCAAGAAGGTGAGCAGTACATATGTTAATCTACCACAGCAAACAACAATATGAACAATCCCTTTATTCTATTCTATCAGAAGAACCAAGTACCATACCAAAAAACAATTCTTAGTCCCCAGGTTTGGTAATAATGAATCACACATGTGATTTTAATTGACTCTACAGCGTCTATTACAAGATGACCAATAAAAATAACCTGTCTCCATGCAATACAAACAAGTAAGCAAAAAATAAGGTTCACCTTTATTATATAATGTGTAATGGAGGGCACACATTTCTATATTAATATCATTTAAAAAGGATATATAAGATCTGAAATATCACTGTACAATAAATGTAAGGATTTTCATCATACATTTTTTAATAAAGGATTTAATTTTTCTTGCATGAATGGAAATCTAATTTCCATATGATCAAAACCTTGAAAGATCATCTTTCACTCCTGCTAAGAGCTCCTAATAAATAATAAATTATCAGCCATATATTTCTTCTCATTCAGCTTAGGAGGAAAAAGAATTTGTAGAAATGATCACTTTTTATAACAACAAAGTTCAAAAAGGAAGGGTAAAGCTCACTTACACCTATATCTGCAAGTTAGGAGGTAGTGTACCACTGAATCTAAGATCCAGGCTACTTAACTCGAGATCCTAACCTTTTCAGATCATTTCCATACATAGCCCAATCCTATACTTTACAAACTGTTTGGATAAAAGATTTACATCACTATATTAGAGGTCATAGTCTTACTCTCAGCACATTGTATTTATAACCAAATTTATTATTAATTTTGGATAGTGTAAGGAATGGTAAAAACACTGTCAAGTTATTTTTTTGCTGTCTGTGTACCAGTGGAGAAATTTCCCTTCACCTTCTAATTTTCCCTTAACCATTCGGTACTCTATCCAAAACAAAAAATTATTATTATTATTATACAGGATTTATATAGCGCCAACAGTTTGCTCAGCGCTTTACAATGTAACAGGAGACAATACAGCAACAATACAGTTCAATACAAGAGGGTTAAGAGGGCCCTGCTCCTTGGAGCTTACAATCTAAAAATACAAGTTTTGCTTGGAGATACACTTTAAAATTATATATTTGTATCTGGTAAATCCTTTTAATGGTACTTTATTCCATGCATTCATAAAATTAACTGATGTGTTGGTTTCCACTGGAAATGCAACTGGTATGTATATGAAACAGCCATATGCATCAGTGGATTTTTTATGTGTATATTGAACATATGTATAGTATAAAGCATCAAAAATGATCTCATTTAACTGCTGGATGCAGGGATTTTTTTTTCTTACAGGGTTTCCTTATTTACAATATTTCCTTCCCAATAGAATGACATTTTTTAACAACTGAGTTGACATTCGGTCCGTATTGCACAACAGCCTTGTCAAAATTTTAGTTATCTGTCTTGCTTATCCAATAGCTTCATTCGTCTCTCTATCTCTGAACTGGAGCAAGTAAAGTTAAACATCCTTTTCTGCATACCCATTCTAAATCAGACTCAGAAAATAGTGAAGACATTGGATTAGTATGATAGCAGGCAAACAGCTTTTTCGGAAGGAAAGATCAGCAATGACAGTCTTGTTTATTCTCTCAGTAAAGGTCTCCTTGAACTTGTTATAAACATTAATACCATGGAAAAATTATGATTTATTGATAGCAAGCTGACATGGTTGATTTTAATATTACAGATGTCAACGTGCTACATAATTGTGATATCTAGAAACCATTCTTGTATATCAGTATGGCATTTGCACATATCAGGACCAAGTAATGTTATGTCATGTATGCTTCTTTGTTTGATATTTACTGAGCTGTAGAACATTTGGTCAAAAGAATGTAGCTAAGATAACGCTTATACAGAAAGCTATGACAGGTGTTATCGGTTGGACTTGCAAAGGGATGAGAGCGGGCCCCTTTTCAGGTATAGTGTAACTGCCTTTTGAAACACACAAACCTTTGTCATAAAATATATATAAATGGAAATCGAGTGCTGGGAACATAAATGCGAAAGCAGCTAGCATAAGAGGTAACCTTTGGAACCCAGTGGAAACATGTAAACAAGAGTATGCAGCACTAATAAAGCTAATAAATCAGATACATAAATTGCACAATAGTATAAGCGAGAAAAACTCAGTCCATATTAAATGGTGAGATAAAGTGATAAGGTGCAATTGTCCAAGCAATCCATGGTCAGAAATAGTTGTGACTATTGTGTTCTTGTGAACGTACAAATAATGCACTAACCAGATAGCGCATGAGGTGCGCATGGAGCAATTAAGACCCGCTCCTGGTACTCTGGACTTGTGATATCAGGAGGATGTCATCTACAGGTATAGCCACAAGATGTCATCAATCCAGGTATATTCGTAAGTCATCCACAGGGAAATCATGAGCGGGGGAGGGGGGAGTCACACATCACTCCAAACCAGCAGGAACCTTCAAAAGCGGGCTCCCATGCAAATAGATGAGACCCAGAGAAGCTTCTAATAGTGTAGTATTTCTTTAATTGGCAAAAATTCAGCATATACAGATAACGGATAAAACTTACATCCAGGATAAGATCTGGCCTCCAGGGTGTCAGTCAGGATAGCCTTGTAGTATAAGTACACAGGTCAGGGGCATAAATAGCTGTGAGTTAGATATACACAATTTGTATACTAAATGACATGCCTTACTTTTATTTGAGATTCACAAATCAAAGTAGAAAAAAAGAAATCAGTTATAAACAAAATGTACCAAAGGCATTTTATTTAATTCTGTATGATAGCAGGTTTAAATTTAGAATTACACAGAAATGAGTCACATAAACTGTCAATGAAAAAAAAAATAACTATAAAAAAAATGCCCATGACAAAAGTTAGGAATCTACCTCATTACATGAAAATTCTATGCAGAAATAAAGAGGAAAAAAATAAATTGTATCTACATCCAAAAGCAAAAATGTATTATGTTGCAGCGTACCAATCCTAAATATGATGGCTGCAATTGCTCTCCAGTTTTTAGGCTTTTTCCCTTATTTTCACCTGTGATCCGACCAGTAAGTCTTTTATTTTGCAACTTCCTTCTATAGACCATGTTGTTTAGCAAAAGCAGCAGTTAACGGGTTGAAGCAAACCATTTAATACTGACAGGAGTGCTTACAATGGTCAGCTTTAATTTATTTGTAGTGCTAACCCAAGAGGAACTACTGAATTGTTTTGGGATCTCACTGCACACCTGAAGATGACAACCCTCACTCACCCAGCACTTACCAACACACACCTTGAGGTATTGCAAAGAATGTATTAGGGCAAACATAGCCTAAAAGGAAGGAGGATTAGTAAGTGTACATATACAAACAATCAATAAGACAGTAACATTACATCGAGAGATATGGTTAAACACCTGCAATATTCTGACCAGGGGCAGACTGACAACTCATGGGGCCCCCGGGCAATAGGAAATCATGGGGCCCCTGTGTCCTTGCCCAAACTCAAAAAAGCCTATGAAAAAGGTACCAGGGGCATCTCATGGGGCCCCTTACTGACCCCGGGCCCTCAGGCAGCGCCTGAGTTTCCAAATGGTCAGTCCGCCCTTGGCGGTGATTTAGTATTGTTGTGCGTATAAATTGCTTTGGCAATTCATACAAATCTTCTGTGAAAAACAGCAAAGGGGCTTAATGCTAGTGCTGGCAGCGAAAGGGGCCGATCCTGCTAACACTGCATTTTTGGGGACATTATACAAAGGAGGCACGAGTTTCCAAATGGTCAGTCCGCCCCTGATTCTGACTAAACAGTAATTAACAATAAGCAATAATATATAAAGACAGCCATAACTTGTAATAAAAGTCCGCTTTTTCCCACTGACCAGTGACTGATAAAAAAAACTGTTGGGGCCCATGAAGAAAGCACAATAGTCCCCAGCAGACAACAGATGAACTTGCTCAATGCCAGTCTTTTACCAGACCCAAAGGACCCTCTCCTGGGTCTCCGGATACATGCTCCAATCCAGTAAAAGTCAAGTTCAAGTCAGACAGGCATAGAAGTTGTTGTGATATCTCTCTTTTTATTTCTACTGAGATATTTCCATTTTTTCTTCCTTACAAGTGGGAGTCCTTTCTGATCACAATAGGAATCCAATCACACCTCACATTGACCAATGAGCAGTTTCTATTGACTGTGGACAGCTATGGCAGAGTTCTGTTCAACCAGCAATCCAGTCTTTTTTTTTCCACACACACCTCCAGCTTTAAGATTGTCCTCTTTCCTTTTCTCCCAGCAGCCCTTTCTCTCCTTGCTTTATTGCATCAGCCAATCTCATTCAAGATCGAGTCAGACCCAGCCAAGATGGCTTCCCCCTACACTGGAGGCATTACATAGATGAACATTGCAAAGTGTTCTCCCTAAAGATGGCTGTTGCACTACTGCATTATTGAATATTCAGTTTAACTCTGTCCACACTGCAGTAGGATAATACAACCGCAACAGAGGAAGAGGTTCTGCAACAATTATCAGCTACATTCCAAGTTACATATATATGTAAAACTACTATCTCAAAAGAATAAAAAAACCTGTTTTGTGTAAGTGTTAAAAGGAGAAGTAGGACAAAAGCTCTTTTGGCTCTACTTCTCCTATGGATCACAGGAGTGCAGTTCTTTCAGCACTCCCATGACCAGTTCAGGTTCTGGAAAGATCTTAACCTAAAGCTGGGATCCACCCAAATGCCTGATGGGCACCTGGTTTAGCCTCTCAGAGTGCTGCTTAGAGCCTTAGCCAGCCACTCCTACTTCCTCCACAGCCTGGCACTCTAGTGAGTGCTGGAGAGGCAGAGCAGAGTCATCGGCTCTCTTCAGACTGAAGATTGAGAACTGAGTAGTCAATGGTGTTTGATCCCTCAGTTCTTGGTCTTAGAAGCATCAGGAAACAGCTGCAGCTGGAAAAGGTGCTGCAGCTATCTAGGCAAGTATGAATGTTTATCTTATTATTACTGAACTTCTCTGTAAACAAGTGTTAGCTGGAGTTCAGCTTTATTTTTTTGATAGTCAAGTTCATCTAAATTTGTTTTGCATCTAAAGCTGGCCATATATGAATCAAAAATCAATGGTTCGGCAGGGACTGGGCAAATTTTGACCCATATATGACCATTCCCATGAAAAGTCAATCTAGTGATCAACTTCTAATGAACAGGCTTGTTAGAAATGTTTTGTTAAATCGGTCCTGCAGCCAATTGGCTGCAGTACTGATCAGTATATTCTGACAACGGATTTCCTGCTGTCAGAGAACAATAACACAGTGTAGAGGATTCCTCTATCCACCTCACTTGTGTGGAAGGGGTAATCTATTCAGTCCATTGGCTGATCGAAAAATCTAACCCATGTATTCCCAGCTTAACACTCACCATGTGTTGGCAAGGCTGCTGTCCAGGAGCAACCCTAAGACAGGAGGTGAGTTACCGGATGAAAATTAAGGAAAAAGCCCAGACTAGAAAGATTTTGGGGCCCATTTATAAAGCAGTGAATGTGACATTTACCAACCAGTCCCTACAGGTGAATATTCATGTTGCATGTGTTTTAAATTACAATGATTGATTTATCTGCAGGAATGGTTTGGAATGTTTTCCTAAATATTTTAACTATGTTTCACTTTTTCTCCAAACTAGTAACACTAGAACCAGACTCTGATGCCAGTACAGGTTAATGCATTTGTATCCAAAAAAAGTATTAAATAGTTAAGTATTTATTAAAGTACTTAAATGTATTTTTGTATTCACCTCAGCCTGTCTTTGTCCTAGCCTACTGCACATCAGCATTGAGTCTGGAAATGAAAGGGCCAACACTATCAATTAGTCTTAACTAAATTGCACAGTGCTATGATTCTAACCATTGAAGCTTGCTGTCAGAGGAGAGAGCACACGACCTTATCAGTTAGCTGCTGTTTTTTTGCTATCTGGTCACAGTCTTGACCAATCTGTATTGCTTTATAAAAAAGTAACCACTCAGCACCTTGTATAGTATCCTTCAGAGGTGTCTGGACTGTAAAAATTGGCTGAACAAAGCACATCTATGTATTTCAAATCTGTATTAAGATGTTTGCCTGCACTTTCTAAATATTTACAGTTAAACTGCCATGCCAAATTTTGCAAGTGGTAGCCAGAACAAGACAGATTTCTGTAAGCACGTTTTGGTATAGGTATTGTTTCTGTGTACCAGACAGTTCTATTCACTAAAAAGTAAAAATACAATGAGATCATTTTATTTAAAAACCCTGCTTCTAACATCTGCATGTAGGACTTATAATTTCCATAAATGACACTTATATCACTCATGAACTACAGCAAATGGTGCTAGTCTTTGCTCAGCAACAGTTTCTGCCCTAAACCTTGGCAACAGGCAACTCTCTGATGGGAATTTGGAGCCTTTGATTTATATAAAACACTTCTATATATAAAACTTCACTCCACTTACAACTTCCTCCAGATGCCTTAGGCAGTCAAAATGTCACAGTCTATGGAGGCATATGTTTTCCACCTTTGGGCGTTATTGTCAGGGTACTCAGACAGCAAGATGATTTGCACAGCTGGCAATTAACCAACCAGCTTGCTTGCCAGCCAACAAACATCAAATCCCTGTGGATGAAGAATTTCAAAAGTTTACCACGTTTTGATAAATCTGATAGTGCCAAATGTTTTAATAAGTTTGAACAAAGCCCTCTTATCCCTCTGATGCAGATATAGTTGGTGGTGTAAGTAAAAATATAGATTTTTTTCTACTTACACTCAATTCTTTTTCTTGAAGTCCATTGAGAGACAAAGGAATATTGACATTTTTAGACATTTGGGGTATGTTCTGCTGCCTAAAGGAAGTTTGGACACTTACAAACAGAAAAAAAAGTTAATGGCCAGATAAATGGAAAACAGTTCCACAAGAGAAAAACAAGCCCAATCTTTACACTACCCATCCTGGGCATCAGGGAAGAAGGGTTCCAATATGGAGTAGGGATGAATAAGACAATCATTCAATCTTATATGTAAGAACAGGAGAAGGAAAGATATTTGGAGGAACCTCCCCTGGAGGCTGCGAATAAGCCATAGTTGGAGGGGTGGATTTCAAATAACAAGAATCCTTGAGGTCCTGCAGATGTGTGCCTTTCCACAGGGAGTCTCTCCAGCAAAGTTGAAGTGTGAAGTGTCTGATGACAATCCAAAGGTACAACAAGCCCTTCAGAAAGGTGAAGGTCTTACAATACAAAGTTGACATCAAATGGATAAAAAAAACTGAGCATCTCTTCTTAAATCTCCCAGATACCAAGAGAGAATACGAAAAACAGAAGGTCAACAAGACAAGGAGAGCCAATGTAAGGACAAGCTTCCCCAGTGTTCCACTAGTTCTTATAAGAGAACTTAGCAGGATCTCAGCTGGTTAACCCCTCTCATTGGTGACTGAACACTACCATCACTACCCAGGTGTAAGGTTCCATACATTGGAAACTTGTAGGAGTTAGGCCCATTGAAAACAATTCCAAAAATGGTTCCTCTTCAAGAAAGGTCTAAGTGTCCCAAAATGGGGATGCCATTTTGGGTGGACATAAAGTTATGGGCTGTCAAAAAGTCCAAACGGCAAATTTATACTAAGACAAATACACGGGGGGGGTCCCATAGTGCATGGAACCTAAAGAGGCCTAGTGAAAAGCACCCCCATGTGTAGTAGCACAGGAAACATGTTGCAAGGCAGCTGCAATAGAAGGCATCTCCAAGTAATTAGCCAGTGAGATAAGGGATACTCACTGACCCAATTATTTGTGCTAACAGTCCTTTCATTTGTAGAAATGAGGGTACACCTTTATGCCAGAATCAAACCAGAGTTATGGAAAGCACCACAGGCAGAGCCTAATGCCCAAAGATCCAGGATAGCCCTGCAATCTTTAAGTCCAGCAGGGTCTGGATACAGCCTCCAGAGCTATTGTTGAGGATAGGCTGATCTGGATAGCTGCTGTGTGGAGACTAGCTCAAACAGCAGTCTGATATCTGAAGTGTACCGAGTATCTTGATTGAAGAAAAAAAATAGCCAGCAGAAATATGGATAGAGCTCAGGAGAAGGTGTTCTGTCTCCAAAGACACTAGCAAATAATTGAAGCATTATGATTAAGGGTGGGGTTACTCAGAGGCTGTCCTTCATTTTATTCTGTTTGCCACTGTTTGTTTGTCTAAACCACCTGTAGGCAGCAACATATAACTAAACTTTGTAAGAACTACTATGTTACTGTGTCCTTTAATGGCCAATAAAAAAGTTACATTTGTAAACCACAAAACAATATAAATAGTTGACCTTTATTGTGTCTACCCAACAGGGGCGGACTGACAACTCATGGGGCCCCCGAGCAATAGGGGATCATGGGGCCCCTGTGTCCTTGCCCAAACTCAAAAAAGCCTATGAAAAAGGTACCAGGGGCATCTCATGGGGCCCCCTACTGACCCCGGGCCCTCGGGCAGTGCTACCCAATGATTTTGACACATACTGTACACTATATTTCAATTGCATGACACTAGAATATAAAAATAAAATTTTAAATAAAAATCAGTAAAAATTAAGTGCATTAATTAGATTATTTCCTTATGTTTTAGGTAGCCATTGTAGTAACTGATGGCCGACCTCAAGATGGTGTAAAGGATGTCTCTGCTAGGGCTCGTCAGAGTGGTTTGGAGCTGTTTGCCATTGGGGTAGGACGCGTTGATATGACCACTCTTCGTCAGATTGCCAGTGAGCCCCTGGATGATCATGTAGACTATGTAGAGAGTTACAGTGTAATTGAGAAGCTCAGCAAGAAGTTCCAAGAAGCATTCTGTGGTAGGTTATCTAGTATTTTATATTGTCTTTCCTTGTACATTAGGTATGGTGCTGAAAATGTGTATTTGAATGTTTACTCTTCTTTTGTCCAGAAATGGCTGACCTCTGTTCCACTGGAGATCATGACTGTCAGCAGATCTGTGTCAGCACTCCTGGATCTTACACTTGTGCCTGCAGGGACGGATACACATTGAATGAAGATGGCAAGACCTGCAATGGTAAATTTCAGAGTACTATTCATCTTTTACTTAGTCTTAATTATGTCCCAGAAGAATCAGTTTCCATTGTACAATGTAAAGCCCCTAAATTTATCAGACAATAACAATGACAACATAATTTGTCTTTCCTACTTAGCATGTGGTGCATCAGCTATTGATCTTGTGTTTCTAATTGATGGATCCAAGAGTGTGCGACCAGAAAATTTTGAACTTGTCAAGCAATTCATCAACCAGGTTGTGGAATCTTTGGATGTTGGAAATAACAAGGCACATGTCGGTGTAGTTCAGTACTCCAGTTCAGTAAGACAGGAATTCCCCTTGGGCAGATATAACAGTAAGAAAGATATTAAAACTGCAGTAAAAAAGATGGCTTACATGGAAAAAGGCACCATGACCGGCCAAGCCATCAAATATCTCATTGACAACACATTTACTATCTCCAATGGAGGAAGACCTGGTGTATCCAAAGTTGGCATTGTCTTCACTGATGGTCGTTCCCAGGACTACATCAATGATGCTGCTTTGAAAGCCAAGGAACTAGGTAAGAAACATTTGTAAATTTTACAGCAACAACACCTACAATTCTTGATCTTTTAAGCTGCACTGCTGAACAGAAATAAATACGCCAATATACCTATTTGGCATATGACTAAATTAATGAAACATCATTGATTTTCCCTGCAGGCCTTTACAAGAATAACATTAATTTAGAGATATAATTTAAAGAGGTAGAAATTCTGATATTGATCTTAATAGCAACTGATTTGATGAAAGAAGAGCTTGTATTTACATCCTTTAGAACCATCTATGTTCAGGGTCAAAAACCCTCATGTATGTCACATTAGGACAGGCAACTGTGTCTGTCCAGCTGCTGCTTCCAGCAGACTTGGATGAGCTGCCTGCACACAGCAAATGAAGTCTAGATGTGCTGGAAAAAAAGAGCCTTTGCTTCCATGTGAACAAGTCCATATACTGTCATTATACAAATGTGACAGACAGTAGAGTATCAAAAAGCGTAACTAGCATCCTAATTTAATAGTCAAAAATCAGCAATGACAAAACAGTTATACAGCTTTCAGGTACTGGGCAGAAAGCAACAAGCATAGGTCATCAGCAGAAAAAAAGGAGGAAAAGTGACTCACAAAACAGTCAGGGGTGTAGTTGGGACCAGGGGCGGACTGACCATTTGAAAACTCGGGCACTGCCCGAGGTCCCGGGGTCAGTAGGGGGCCCCATGAGATACCCCTGGTACCTTTTTCATAGGCTTTTTTGAGTTTAGGCAAGGACACAGGGGCCCCATGATCCCTTATTGCCTGTGGGGCCCCATGAGTTGTCAGTCCGCCCCTGGTGGGACAGTCCAGATGCAACTGCAGAAGGAATAACACAGGAGTGCACTGGCCTAGCGCATGATACCAGGTAACTGTTTAATAAAATGTGAATAAAATATTATACTCACAAACAAGTGGTGACAGATTGCATATAGATAGATAGTCACAAGATGCATTAATCCACAATGAGCCAAAGACCCTGTTGTCATTGAAGTGCCATCTAGGGGCCAAATTCATCTGACTCATTTTGAGGGTAACCCGCTTCCCCAGAGGAAGAGGGTTACCCTTCAAATGCGTCAGCCGGATTTGGCCCCTAGATGGCACTTCAGTGACAACAGGGTCTTTGGCTCATTGTGGATTAATGCATCTTGTGACTGTCTATCTATATGCAATCTGTCACCACTTGTTTGTGAGTATAATATTTTATCCACATTTTAATCAACAGTTATCTGGGATAATGCACTAGGCCAGTGCATTCTTGTTTTATTACTTCTTTCCTTCAGTTGCATCCGGACTCCCCAGACTTATATGAGAGCTGCAAGGCTTGGCCCCACCCGTTGGAGTTTCGCACACATCTGAGTTCCACAGAGTACAGTTGCAAGAAAAAGTATGTGAACCCTTGGGATTACGTGGAGTTTTGCATGAATTGGGCATAAAATGTGCTCTGAACGTCATCTAAGTCACAACAATAGAAGAACACAGTCTGCTGAACATAATACTACACAAACATTAGATGTTGCCATGGTTTAATTGCACATAACATGTAAACATTCACAGTGCAGGGAGGAAAAAGTATGTGAACCTTTGGACTTAATAACTGGTTGACCCTCCTTTGGCAGCAATACCCTCAACCAAACGTTTCCTGTAGTTGCAGATCAGACCTGCACAACGATCTGGAGTCATTTTGGACCACTCCTCTTCACAAAACTGTTTCAGTGTAGCAGTATTCTTGGGATGTCTGGTGTGAATCGCTCTCTTAAGGTCATGCCACAGCATTTCAATGGGGTTGAGGTCAGGACTCTGACTGGGCCACTCCAGAAGGCGTATTCTGTGCTGTTGCAGCCATTGTTTTGTTGAATGACTTGTATGCTTTGGGTCATTGTCCTGTTGCATCACCCATCCTCTGCGGAGCTTTAGTTGGCGGACAGATGGTCGTACGTTTTCCTGCAAAATGCCTTGATAAACTCTGGAATTCATTTTCCCATCAATGACAACAATCCGTCCAGGCCCTGAGGCAGCAAAGCAGCCCCAAACCATGATGCTCCCTCCGCCATGTTTCACAGTGGGGATGAGGTTTTGATGTTGGTGTGCTGTGCCTTTTTTTCTCCACACATAGTGTTGTGTGTTCTTCCCAAACAACTCAATCTTGGTTTCATCTGCCCACAGTATATTTTGCCAGTAGTGCTGTGGAACATCCAGGTGCTCTTTTGCAAACTTCAAACGTGCTGCAATATTCTTTTTGGACAGCAATGGCTTCCTCCGTAGTGTCCTCCCATGTACTCCATTCTTGTTTAATGTTTTCCTTATTGTAGATGTGTCAACAAAAATGTTAGCATGTGCCAGAGATTTCTGTAGGTCTTTAGCTGACACTCTGGGATTCTTCTTTACCTCATGCAGCATTCTGCGATGTGCTCTTGCAGTCATTTTTACAGGACGACCACGCCTAGGGAGAGTAGCAACAGTGCTAAACTTTCTCCATTTGTAGACAGTCTGTCTTACCGTGGACACATGAACATCAAGGCTTTTGGAGAAACTTTTGTAACCTTTCCAGCTTCATGCAAGTCAACAATTCTTGATCGTAGGTCTTCTGAGAGCTCTTTTCTGTGAGGCCATGGTTCACATCAGACAGTGCTTCTTGAAGCCAGTAAACCCAAAACAGGTGTGTGTTTTATAAGGGCAGGACAGCTGTCAGCAACACATCCAATATCATCCCACTGATTGGAGTCAAGGTTGGCTCACTCCTGGCTCCAATTAGCTCTGGGAGAAGTCATTAAGCTAGGGCTTCACATACTTTTTCCTCCCTGCACTGTGAATGTTTACATGTTATGTGCAATTAAACCATGGCAACATCTAATGTTTGTGTAGTATTATGTTCAGCAGACTGTGTTCTTCTATTGTTGTGACTTAGATGACGTTCAGAGCACATTTTATGCCCAATTCATGCAAAACTCCACGTAATCCCAAGGGGTTCACATACTTTTTCTTGCAACTGTATTTCTGTTCCTAGCCTTACACACCCATGCGCAGAAGCTTTTGACATTATTTCACTCACTGTGCAGTTGGGACATCAACAGGTCAGCTATTTACTAGAGTAGAGGCACAATACTGTGCAAATGTAGTAAAGCAAATGTGATAAGAAACTCGCAAAGTCAGCAGTAGGTTCAGAAATACTCTTAGACAGACATTAGTGATGATGGTAACCAAAAAAAAGACATCAGGGACATACCGGTAATTCCAACATAATTAGAGGAACTGCCAGCTACATTAAGAATAGTATAGAAATAAACACAGAGAATATGTGAAAGAGCAACTGGCCCAAAGTTAATTAGTTTTATTTATATTGGCTATTGCATGTGCTTGAGGCCTCAGTGTATACACAGGCATGCATATGTATCCAAGCAGCTGGGACTGCACATGACCTTTTTTAGTCCCAAAATATTGGTATTGTTACTTTTTGGTGAAGACACTGCTGCCACTACTCCCAGTGCTGAATGAAGTTTGTATCTTAGCAAGAATTAGTTTAGTGTTAAATATTAGGTTAGGTTAGTATTACTGTTAGGGTTAGGCTTTAAATTATATAGCTAAGCTTTAAGTTTTGGGATACAGATAATAAATAACAGCTTACTTTGGGATTAAAGTACTAACTAAAGGCACAACTTGTTTTTTTTATTAGATTTGGTCAGAGTGGAGAAGGGGTACAACCCCTGTCAAGTTGTTATTGCTGTTTGTGTCTCCATTGGGAACATTCACTCTCTATATTTGTTCAGAACAGGAAAAGAGGAGAGATAATCCAATCTTCCACTTGGAGATATCGCTCCAACTGGAAAGATACCTTCTTACTTTTTGTTGAGTCTACAGGACAGGAAGTAATGGGAAATCTCCCTAATGAGACACAAATGGCAAAAAACAAACTGGAAGAAGTTATTATCTTCCCCTACTCTATCCAAAATGAAAAAAAAAATGGTTTCAGATTTACTTTAATTTGTGTATATTTAGTTTTCACAAGATTGACATACTTTTAAATGGAAAAGATAAAGGTTTTCAGAATAACATTTAAAACAGACCCCCGAGGTGTTGGTAGTTAATTGTAGGCAATTATTAAAGGGGTTCTGTATATATTTTCTTTTATTATAGTCAGGACAGGATTTTTGGGGAGTTCATTAAGGGTCAGAAAGAAGTCTGAGACTTATGGGTTATTCTGCCACCTACAGTTGTGACCAAAATTATTCAACCCCCCACTGAAATTGAGTGTTTTGGCCAGTTTGACATTGCTTTTGATCATTCAGTCATCTTGCTTACATTTACATTAAAGAGGCACTTGTAGGTCAGACAAATATAACATAACAGTTATAATGAAATAACCACAAATGTCTTTTCTGTGCTCACAGCATTATCAGTTTTATTCAACCCCCAAGTGACATTCAATCTTAGTACTTTAGTACAGCATCCTTTTACAGTTATAAACAGCTTTTAAACGTGAAGCATAGCTTGACACAAGTGTCTTGCAGCGATCTACGGGTATCTTCGCCCATTCTTCATGGGCAAAAGGCCTCCAGTTCAGTCACATTCTTAGGCTTGCGCACTGCAACTGCTTTCTTTAAGTCCCACAGAGGTTCTCAATCGGATTTAAGTCTGGTGACTGCGATGGCCACTCCAAAATGTTCCAGCCTTTCCTCTGCAACCATGCTCTAGTGGACTTGGAGGTATGCTTGGGATCATTGTCCTGTTGAAAGGTCCAACGTCTCCCAAGCCTCAGGTGTGACGGACTGCATCACGTTTCCATCCATAATCTCCTGGTACTGAAGAGAATTCATGGTACCTTGCACACGCTGAAGCTTCCCTGTACCTGCAGAAGCAAAACAGCCCCAAAGCATGAATTGACCCTCCACCATGCTTCACAGTAGGCAAGGTGTTCTTTTTCATCATAGGCCTTGTTCTTCCTCCTCCAAACATAGCGTTGATCCATGGGCCCAAACAGTTCTAATTTTGTTTC